CTTCCACCTCAGCCTCTCAAAACGCTGTGAGCCACCGCACCTGGTCTTTTTCTCATTTTAAGAAAGGTGCTAGCCATTACCTTTCCAAAGACTTTTTACTCCCCCTTTGCTCTCTCCTCTCCTGGCACTCCTGTTTTATAAATGTTGAGATACTGGACATCACACTACATGTTTTTGAGGCTCTGCTCATTTTTATTCAAGCTTTATTTTCTCCATTCTTTGGTTAGGATTATTTATATTGATTCTTTCTTCTTTGAACTCAAATTTCCTGTTGAGCCCATCTAGTACATTTCAAATTTCAATTATTGATTTTTAAGTCCCGAATTTCTGTTTGGATCTGTATTATAATTTGATACCTCCACGGAAGTTTTCTCTGTTTGCTGAACACTGAACACTGTCACGTTTTCCTTTAATTCTCTCACTACGGTTGTGTTTAATTCTATCGCTATCCCCATCACAGCACTTTGAAGTCTTTTTTTTGGGGGGGGGGACAGAGTTTCGCTCTTGTTACCCAGGCTGGAGTGCAATGGCGCCATCTCGGCTCACCGCAACCTCCGCCTCCTGGGTTCAGGCAATTCTCCTGCCCCTCAGCCTCCTGAGTAGCTGGGATTACAGGCACACGCCACCATGCCCAGCTAATTTTTTTGTATTTTTAGTAGAGACGGGGTTTCACCATGTTGACCAGGATGGTCTCGATCTCTTGACCTCGTGATCCACCTGCCTCGGCCTCCCAAAGTGCTGGGATTACAGGCGTGAGCCACTGCACCCGGCCCACTTTGAGGTCTTTAATTTGCTCAGCCCTTTCTATTGCCTGCATTTCCCTAAGTATGGATCTCTGTTTTCTGTTTCTTTATACATCTACTATTTTTTTGTTGAAAACTGAAAGTTTTAAATAATACATTTAACAATGAATTGTTTTTATTTTTATTCTTCTGAGGGTTGTTGGCTCTTCTTTTCTAGTAAGTTTTCCTGGCTTCAACTGCAGATCTGTTTCCCCTGGAAAATAGAATTTCTGATATCTCTGCTCATTTATTAGCCCAATTTTTTTTTTTTGAGATGGAGTCTTTCTCTGTTGCCCAGGCTGGAGTGCAGTGGTGCAATCTCAGCTCACTGCAACCTCTGCCTCCCAAGTTCAAGCAATTCTTCTGCCTCAGCCTCCCAAGTAGCTGGGACTGCAGGGTCTCGCCACCACACCTAGCTAATTTTTGTATTTTTAGTAGAGATGGGGTTTCACCATATTGACCAGGCTGAGTCTCGAACTCCTGACCTCATGATCCACCCACCTTGGCCTTCCAAAGTGCTGGGATTCCAGGCGTGAGCCACAGCGTCTGACCATTAGCCTGGCTTTCTAAGGATCAGTGTCCACGTAGCTTAGAGTCATTGAGCAACTTGTGCTGAAACACCTCACGCTTATAAGGTCTCTAACTGTTCAAGTAAAAAAAGGTATCACTGTTTGTTGATTGATCCACATGTGAGTTAGGGAATATATTCAAAGTTGCAGACAGTTCTCCAGACCTGTCCGCTTTCACTTTCTGCTGAATTCTTTTAAGTCTCCCCCTGCACATGCATGGTTTCCCAATCAATTAGGAATATAGCTTATCTCAGCCCTTCTGTGATGCTCTTCTCCAGACTGTTTCCAGGATCTTTTTGTTAAACTTCCGGCTGATTGCCATTGCTTCATCTGGGACCAAACCTTGAGCTAGCAAAGCTGTAGGTTCTGCTCGTTAATTCCAGCAGACTCCATCAATTCTGGCCAGGAAAGCCATGGACCTTCACACCTCGGTTAAGTCATCTGTCCCATTAGCAATAAACTTTCTGGTTTTTGCAGCCAGTTCCACAGTGATAAACCTAAGTTCTTACTAACCAAGCCGAGGGCAGGGTAGATAGAACAGCCCCAGGCAAGGAGGCCACAGTCTCGTTGCTCTCCTTAAAGTTCATGCATTTTTTCAAAAATAAACATTTCTCAATTCATTGAATGTCACTGATGATGAGTTCGTGTCCTTTGTAGGGACATGGATGAATCTGGAGAACATCATTCTCAGCAAACTGACACAAGAACAGAAAATGAAATACTGCATATTCTCACTCATAGGCGGGTGATGAAAAATGAGAACACATGGACACAGGGAAGGGAAAACTACACACTGGGGTCTATTGGGGGGAATAGGGGAGGGACCAGTGGAGGGGGGGAGCTGGGAGGGATAGCCTGGGGAGAAATGCCAAATGTGGGTAAAGGGGAGAAAGGAAGCAAAACACACTGCCATGTGTGTACCTATGCAACTATCATTCATGTTCTGCACATGTACCCCAAAACCTAAAATACAATAAAAAAATTTAAAAATAAAGGAAGTGAAACACTTAGGAAAAAAAAAGATTTCCTGCGCACTGAGACACTTGTGACAGTTTTTTCCAGTTTTATACTTGGTCTTTTGCACAGAGGAACCTCTGACACCTTCATGCAATCATCATCAGAATTCTCTTTTGTACTTATTTTTATAAGGAGCCTGGGGGTTTTAGGTTGAATAAAACAAAGGTCAAGTTAGACTTCTCTAATTACATTTGCATTTTGTTAAATTGCAGGAGTCATTTTAAAAGACAGATCGTTTTTTTTCCAAAGCAACATTCAGGCACGGATTTTCCTAACACTGGAAAACAACTGTTTTATAAGCAAAATGGTACGACACTGGAGTGATCTGTGTTCTTTCCAAGTTTACAGGGTGTGAAGTCCATGCAGAATAGCTGGCACATAAAAAACAAAAAACGATCAACAAATCCAAACCCCAAAAAACTTCTTCCGTCTGCAACTTAATCTCCATCTACTGGTTTCCATTATGTGTTCATGTCTATCACTTTGGAACTAAGTCACATACATTCTCTTCTGTGATATTCTGAGTGTTCAGTCTGAAGGCTTTTTTGTTGTTGGTCTTTTTAAAGCATTTCTGTGTGTAGAAGGTAGAATAATAGTATTTCTGCCTCCAGGTGAACACCTTATTGAATTCCCTATTCTGAATAAGGGCAGAACCTATGGATATGACTGGGTATCACTTCCATGGTTATATTCTGTGATACGACAATGACAGAAAAGATTCTGCATGTGTAATTAAGGACTCCAATCAGTTTATTTTGGGTTAATCACAAGTTTCCTAGATGGGCCAGGCATAATCATGGAGCCCTTTAGATGTAGAGTTTCTCCAGCTGGTTTCAAAAGAAAGAAATAGCTATGCTACTAACTCCCTAGGAAGAGGAGCAGCCTCTAGTTATTGGGTGTGATCCCTAGCTGATGGCTGGGAAGCAAATGGGACCTCAGTCCAGCAACTGCAAGGAACTGTATTCTGCCAACAACCAGTGAACTTGCAAGAGGACCTTAGTCTCAAATCAGACCGAAGCCCTGGCCAACACTTTGACTTCAGCCTTGTAAAACTCTGAGCAGAGAACCCAATTATGCTGTGTCCAGACTTCTGAAGTGCAGAAACTGTGAGATAATACACTTGTGTTGATTTAAGCTGATAAGTGCTTGGCAATTTATCACAGAGCAATGGAAAGCTAATACACTGTGAAATCTTTCTTTATAAATGATTCTTCCCTTAAAACACCCAAGATTTGAGAATTTGTATTTACATAAGATGCAGATTGGCATGAAATTGTTCAGTTATTCAGGACTTTACGCCTTACAATAGGTTTAATTTCAAGACTTCTAAAGCACAATTTCTGTACATTTCTTTCTTGATTTTCAAAAGAATAATCACAACCCTTTTGTGTACTTGCTATTTAACAAGCACAGTTCTAAGTGATGGGCTGTTCACATCCCCCTGTGTAATTCTCATTTTGCAGATGAGGGGAGTGAGGTGGTGCCAAGGGTGAAGCTATGTCCCCAATGTCACATCTGTACAGAGTGATAGAACCCGAGAGCCTCACGCTCTGCAGATCTTAACCCTATGCCTTTTGCTATTGCTTCCACAAGGACGTTATAGAAAGTGTGGAAAATTCAGAAGCGCACTGAGAAGAAAATATAAATCACTAGTAACATCTCCATTTAAAGATAGCCATATAATCACTATGAACATTTCGGTGATCATTCTATCTAGGAAAATAGCTCTGTCAATAGAGAGGTGGGCACATTTTAACTTCGTGGGGATTTTACTCTGCTTAATGCTTTATAACTTTCTCTTTTTTTCCCTTTTTCATATACACATTAAAAATGTTCTATATTCTTGCCCACAGTATTAATACATTTACCAAAAAAACCTTTTTTTCCTTCTTTCTTCCGGAAGTACAGCATGCTGGCATCATGGATCCTTTGGGTTTTGCTCACTGTGTGACCATTCCCCAAAGTCACAGACCCTTCTCAGAGTGTCTCTGTGGTCTTTCTCTTCAGGTTTTGACCTCAGAGAATCCAGGAAAGAGAAAGGCAGATGGGTGGTGGAAAATTCAGATGATCAGAAACCTACCATTTGTGCTAAGGTTGGGGTTAAATGCATTGCTAATTTAAAAATAAAGGTAGAGGATTATGGAGAAGAGAGAGTGTACGGGAATGCCACCATGAAGGGCACGTGCAGAGGGCAGCTAGACCCAAGGATCTGCCTGGCCTGTGAGGGTGGAACGTGTGGTGGGTCACATGTAGGGCCCCGTCCACATTGCACAGCTGAACCAAGACCATGAACCCCACCAGCCCCAAAGTGTCAATTGCTGGCACTCTTAGGGCTGAGGACAGAGGCTACCTCCAAAGAACATCAGAGTGATGACTGTGTCCTCCTGGAGAACTGAGATCAACCCTCTCAGAGGCGGGAAGGAAGAGGAGAAGCTGAGTTATCCCAAGGAGACTAAATTAACCATATAAATGGCAAGATGAAATGTTTTCTGCTATCAGCCAAAACAGTGTCTTATGAACAAGCGTTCAGTTATAGAGAAATAGAGAGCATGAAATTTCTGTGTATCTAAGTTGTGATAATAAATTTTCAACCTTCTGCTGGCTATGTCTAAATCCTTCCTATTTTTGTCAGTGATACTTATTTTATTGCTCACATTGGCTTGAAATCATGAGGCCACCTCTGTCTTTTCATCAATCAAACTGTGAAGTCATCTTGGACCACTCTGTGTGTGGTATGCAGGTGAGGAGAGGGGATTACAACCTGACACTGAGGCACTCTATATTTAACCAAATGTGAATAAGGGAAAAAGTCAGCCTTTTTCTTAACCTTTTAAAAAGCTTCCTGAGTACCAATCAGTGCTTTTCAAAAAGTCAACATTCAGTGAATTAATTTAAATGTCGATGACTTAGAAACATAAGGATTACTTTCCCCCTAAATCACCCATATAAAGAAATGATGTTTTGCAAAAATGAGCACTTATTTTTGATTCTGCAACATTTGAAAAGTGGCAGAGAGTGGCACAGCCCGTTCAAGCATAGTTGAACTGCATTTGCTCAGTGTTCAAATGGGACGTACTGCTCAGTGCTAACGAACACGGTGAACTGGGGCGGGGAGCTTGGGGCTTTCCACAGCTTCATTCTGCTCTGGGAATAGAGTCATGACCACGTCCTCCAGTCTTCCTGTTGGTTCCCCACTGTAGGGCTGCTCCTTGGGACTGAAGCAGGGGTTGTTTGTGATGGGGATGTAGGCTCAATAGTTCAGTAACTTCTGGGGGGGTTCCTTTTGGAGTATCTCCCCAGTCACAACAATACCCTGCTTTGGTGAGAGCTATCCCCTCACTCCATGAGCGTGGCAGCCATATCTGTACCTCGAGCTCTCCCCACTCCCACCTGTCGCTTATTCAGTGGACTAAAGATTTAGCTCAGTCTCTCTGCTGGGAAGTTGGGACTGGCCACCAGAAGGTGAACTCACCTCTGTGAGCTGAACTACAGCATACAAACGCAGGGCTTGTGGGAGCCACTAGCTGGCCAAAGGGTGGAGAGCATTAAACCAGCTGGTCTGTAGGGATAGAGATGGAGGCAGCGGAGAGGCACCAGGAGAGTGAACTCTCTGGGTTCCTGGCACGGCAAGGTGCCAGGAGAGAGAACTCTCTGGGTTCCTGGCAGGGCAAGGTGCCAGGAGAGAGAACTCTCTGGGTTCCTGGCAGGGCAAGGTGCCAGGAGAGAGAACTCTCTGGGTTCCTGGCACGGCAAGGTGCCAGGAGAGAGAACTCTCTGGGTTCCTGGCAGGGCAAGGTGCCAGGAGAGAGAACTCTTTGGGTTCCTGGCAGGGCAAGGTGCCAGGAGAGAGAACTCTCTGGGTTCCTGGCAGGGCAAGGTGCCAGGAGAGAGAACTCTCTGGGTTCCTGGCACGGCAAGGTGCCAGGAGAGAGAACTCTCTGGGTTCCTGGCAGGGCAAGGTGCCAGGAGAGAGAACTCTCTGGGTACGTGGCAGGGCAAGGTGCCAGGAGAGAGAACTCTCTGGGTACCTGGCAGCCAACATTTTTTGTTTCCTAGCTTAATTTTCAAGCCTGTTTTTTCCTTTTGATTCTAAAATTCACTCTTAGAATTCTCACAAGCAAATTTTCCCTCTCTTTTTTTTTATGCTTAGCCTAGTTTAAGTTGATTCTTGTTATTTGCAACCCCAGGAGTATCACTCCTGGTTCCCATATTGGTGGTGAGGAACTCTGTGTCTGGGGAATAAGATAAAGGAACAGGCATATGACAAGAGAAATCTAATCGCTGCAGCAATGGTTTTAAAATATAGGTCTTAGATATGGCACCAGAAAAACAAGAGATGAAAGAAGAAAATAGATACACTGGACTCCTTCAAAACTACTAAATTTTGTTCTTGAAAGGACGTCATTATGAAAGTGGGGGAAGGAAACAGAATTTGAGAAAATAGTTGTGAATTATATCTTTGAAAAGAGACTTGTGTCTAGAATATGCAAAGAATTTTTACAATTCAACAACAAAAAGTCATTTAAAAAGGGGCAAAAGATTTGAATAGAACCTTTTTTCAAAGAAGATATACAGGTGATCACCGAGCACATGAAAGCATGCTAACATCATTATCATTTGAGAAATGCAAATTAAAACCAAAAATGAGGTCTCATTCCACAGCTACTGTGATGGTGACAGGCAAAAAGATGAATAACTCAGTGTTGGCATGAAGGTGGAGAAGTGACAACTTTCATCCACCTCCGGTAGAAATGTAAAATGGTGCAGCTGTTTGGAAAAGAGTCTGGCAGTTTCTCAAAATGTCAAAGATGGAATTCCCATATGCCCTAGAAATTCCACCCCTAGGTGGAATTGGGAGTTGGAAAGGTGATACAAATATTTTATGTTATTATGATCTTATAAATCAAGGCAAGGGTATCCTTTTAGCCCAAGAGAAATGCAAACACATGTCCACACAACATGAATGTTCACAGAAGAATTATTCATCACCACCGATAAGTGAAAACAACTCAAACGTCCATTAACAATGAATAAATAACCAGGTATGTCCATATAATGGAATATTATTCAGCTGTAAGGAGAAAGAAGGTTGATGCATGCTACAACATGAATGGACCTTGAAAACATCATGCTAAGTCAAAAAGGCCTGTAGCAATAGGCCATGTCTTATATTATCCTATTTATGTGACAGGCTTATAGAGACAGAAAGTAGATTGGTAATTTCCAGGGGTTATAGAGAGAAGGAAATGGGGAATCACTGTTAAGAGAACTGGATTTTTCGAGGGGCGCAATGAAGTATTCTGGAATTAGATATTGATGATCAACGCACAACTCGTGAATATACTAAACGCCACTTTTAAGCAAGGGTGAAGCTTATGATATGTGAATTACATTTCTCAATAAAACTGTTACTTAAAACAATATGGGGAAGTATATTACCCTGATTTAATCACTTCGATAATAACATAATCCCAATTAAAGTAAGGAATAAGCCAAGCTTTAACCAGCCAGGTAACCTTAAACAAGTTACTTATTTCTGTCATTGTTTTTCACCCACCGAATGAGGATAATGATAATACAGACTTCATAAGGTCACTGTAATGGCTAAATGGGAATACACGTAAACCTTTTGGAAGACGGCTCATCACACAGTCAGTGTCCAATAAATGTTGGCAATTATTATAACTATTAACTTGCAAGTGTGATTTGAGTGGCTGAAGAGCACTTGGTTGTAGTGACTTTCTCAAGGCGTCACTCCAATCGGTCCACGTTCAACTCAGAGACAAGATGGAAGGTACCAACAGATACAGAACTGTGTTCGTCAGCACTGAGCAGTACGTCCCACCTGAACACTGAGCAAATGCAGTTCAATATGCTTCAACAGGCTGCGCCTCTGTCTGCCACTTTTCAAATGTTGCAGAATCAATAATAAGACGTGTTCATTTTTGCAAAACATCATTTCTTTATACACAACAAACTTTATGAGTAAGAAACAAATATGATTACTCAACAATAATCTTCATAAAAACGGATGAAACCCACCTAATTTGGTTGACCTTGAGGAAAATAGGAAGGAAGAACTTCTTCCATGAGTTGGGAAGGTGATACAAATATTTGACGTTATTGTGATCTTATACGTCAAGGCAAGGGTATCCTTTTATGATCAAGGTAAGAATTTGTGTTGGAATGGCAACTGAAAGACAGCTGACAATGAACAAAAATGAAGAGGGCTGGACACAGTGTCTCATGCTTATAATCTCAGCCTTTGGGAGGCTGAGGTGGACAGATTGCTAGAGCCCAGAAGTTTGAGACCAATCTGTACCATATAGTGAGTTCCTGTCTCCGCAAAAATACAAATAGAACAATTAGGCAGGCATAGTGGCATATACCAGTAGTCCCAGCTACGTGGGAGGCTGGGGTGGGAGGGTCACTAGAGCCTGGGCTGTCGAGGCTGCAGTGTGCTATAATCGCACCACTGCACTGTGGCCTGGGTGATACAGCAGGACCTTGTCTTTATTAAAAAATACATGAGTCATTCTTGCTCAAGTTGGGGTGATCAGAAATCCAGCTGCCTAATCAACCTTTGCTCAGAAAGGTTTTTATGGCCCGGGGCCTTTCAGCAAGCAAGTGAATGCAACAGAATCTTTGGGGTAACCGAGGCTTCCTTCTCCGACCAGCAGTATTCAGGTAGAAATGTTTCTAAAATTCTAAAGTTTTAAACACTCTTTTCCCTTTCGTCGAGGCCATTACTTCACCTTTCCCCTGCGGCTTTATGAAGTCCACAGTGCCCACTTCCAAGCCGTGAGTCTCTGCCCTGCACGTCCTGGGGCTCTGCTGGCTCTGGCACCGGCAGTTTGAAGAGTTAGAGGAAGGGTATTATTATCAAGGGCACTAAGGGCCCAGTTCAACATTCATTTTAAAGGACCGTAATCTTTACAAGGCTCCAGGTTCTCGTTTTCCTCTAAGCTGGACAGTGAATTTCCTGAAGACAGACATTCTAAAAGTCCTTCTTCTCCTTCATCTGTTCATCCTTGGCTCTGAGCACAGGGTCTTGCATATGCAGTGGCCACGTGAGGAATGAGCGCATGGAAATGTTTGGGGACCGCCTTTCTGATGGAGGGTTTGAAGGCATGTAATCCTGCTTTTTGTCAGAAAGTTGTTAGGGTGTTGGTAACAAATGTAGAGTTAGAAGAATTCCAATCAACAATCCTTCTCTTCTGTCCCCTCTTCCACATACTTCTTCCTCTTCCCACCAGCTGTGAGAGAGGGGACCTCACTGCTTTCTGAGACACTTTCCACATGCAGCCCTTTCAGTAGGTACAACCCAGGATTCCCTATCAGGAGACACTTGCTCCCCAGCTTCTGGAGCCCTTGGTCTGAAGGATGATGCTAACATCAGTCAGTCCGTCGCCAGATTTGCCACCAGCAATGAGAGATGTCTCAAAATTACAGCTCTCCTTTGGGGTTAGGTCACATCCTGGGACTGTTTGATGTGGGAATTCGAAGACCTGGACCAACTTCAGGACAACCCTGAAGAGCTATTTTAGTCCCAGAGCTCTCAGTGGGATCCCCTAGGCCTTCTATGGCTGCAGCACAGCCCGCCTTCTCCCTGCCAACCCCACTGCCTTCCTCTCTTGCCAATCTTTTCACCAAGAGCACTCCTCAATAGACCCCCCTGCACACATACATCTAATCCTGTCTCCCCAAAAAGCCAACTTCCAACAGCGATGCACCAAGTTGCACTGCCTTCAGCACCTGTCTTAGCACACATGCAGGGCTCAGAAAGTGTTCACCGCAAGGCTGGAGTCCTCCTGCACCCACCTTTCTTGCTGTTATGACAACAGGCGATTAAGTCACCCAGGCAGAGTTAGCCAGAAGAAGTTATGAGTTGCTGGGAAAATGGGTGCTAAAGCACCTTCAAACCTAATGAACAACAGAGTCTCCAAGCTCCTGGGGCCATGAGAATTTGTGTGGGCAGCCAAAGTGAACCTCTGTGAATCATGGAGATGACCACATGTTTCTTGACCCTCTCTATCACAAGAAGGGGTCCGCACCCCCTACCTTTGAGTCTGGGTGGAGGAACCTGTGAATACTTTGAGCAATGGAGCATGGCAAGCGACACTGTGCTTGTTTCTGGACTCAAAGTTTGAAAGACTGGCAACGTCTGGCTCCTGTCTTTTGGAGCTCTCTCTGGGATTCCTAGGCTGCCGAGGAAGAAGGCCTACTACCCAAGACTGCCATATGTGGGCACTCTGATGGCACTCCTAGACGAGCCAGCTGTATAGTCATTCCCTCGCCCCCAAGGTGCCAAACATGTGAGTGAAACTGTTTTTGTCAGTCCCAGATCCATCAGTCCACCATGTGAATACCATCTCCTAACCTCAGTCACTTCTACAAGGAGAAGAATTGCCAGCCAGATCTGAACAAATTTTTGACCCATAAAATCATAATACAACAAAATGGTTATTATTGTAATTTTTGATGCAGCAGTAGAAAACCAGAACAACCCCATCCTGAAATCCCCCCAACACCTCTTTTCACTCCCTATGACCTCATTGAGAACAGGGCAGTGAAAGGAGTGAGTGTCTCCTGTCCATTTTACTGACGCGAAGGTACGAGGATCTTAGGTTTGACAGCTCGCCCAAACTCAAACATTTAGTTTGCAACAAACCCAGAAGTAAAACTCATTTCATCTGAGCTTTTCTCAAGTGTATGTCCATTTGAAGGCATTAGGATTTTGTTTTGAGAAAAATGAAAGGGTGGTAAATAATTATTTAAGGAAACCAAATGCTGGGTGAGGATGCTCTCCCAGGCATGATTCAAAGAGCCACACACCTCTGCTTCTAGGTCTCTGGAAAATAGGGTCTCAGGGAATCTGGGTCTTAATTAAAACAAGACTTTGAAAGTCAAGGTGGATCTCCTAACATGTACAATGACCTGAGGTCATGATTTTGAGGAAGTAGAACTAATTCGTCTTCAGAAAAAATTAAGTGTCAGAGTCTGTGTCAAGATTTTCCATTTGCAGCATGTGGCCTCCAAACTTATCCTCCAGTTCTTTTCCTGGCTTCTCAAACTAGGATTCTATTTGAGGTCTGCTCATCGAGCAATTACTTACTACTTGGAGTTCTGAGTCTATGTGGCTTTACGGACTGCACCATCTAAATGCCACCACTGTTAGGAGAATTCCCATGTTATGGGAGCTACAATGTGAATATCAACAATCTTGCCTTACTTCCTACTGTCATCCAAACAAACAAACAAACAAAAAAAACCTTGGAAATAAAACAGTTCATTAAAAGATAAGCCAAAAAACCATATCAGTGCTCAGTGTTTCCAGGTGATAGCCGAATTTGGATTCTCTGAGAGACAGAAGAAAGCTGAGATGGTTGAGTCCTTACTGTGTGCAAATGCCGCAAACTTACATGCACGGTCACAATTTTCACGATACCCCTATGAGGTGGGTCTTATTAGCTTCAGTTCACCAATAAGGGCACAGAAGCTTCGAGAGGGTTAAGTACATTGCTTCAGGTTTCCCAGCCAGTAAGAAATGGGAGAGAAGAGTAGGAGGTGGGCAGTGATTCAAACTCCCATGTGTCTGTCTGAGGTCAAAGCCCATGAAAAGCAGTAAAATTTCAGGTTAAAATAGCCTGAAATAATAGTTGCCTATACACGAAGCAAAAATTCCAATCACCAATGAGGCGGAAGAGTTTTATGCCCAATTTAAACTCATACACTCTTTATTCACATAGATGTATGTAGTGTCAATGTCAGCCCTTAGACTCCACACTTTTTGACGTCAGTGAGGTTACTGGTACCTTACTTGGAATCTTACAACTCTTGATATCATCAAACATGCGATTGATTATGCAAGCAAAGTATTGGACCCCATTGTTATGTCTATATACATACAAAAATACAAAAATATTTATTTACATACCTACACAGGTGTGGCCATTCGAGTGGCTGAGCCTGGACTGGTCTTCGTAGGGTGGAGAGGCCGAGGACTGAAGGAGAGGAAGAAAGAATAGAGGCACCACCATGAAGATTTTCCAGTGGGACTGCATCTCTGAGCAATGCACCCCCAGTGATCACCTGGCTCCAGAAGCTACCAGCTGAGGGATACTGGAGTTGAGGCCGCAGAATCAACTGGTCTGTCCTCTCTTTGACACACACCCTACCCTCTCACATACATGCTTTTCAGTAAGTGTGACGTGAATAAAAGCACGCATAAACACTCACAGACCCACAGCTTGCTCTTGTGGGACCCTGAGAGAGCCACACACGAAGAGCTGGGGAAGAGTCCCTGGTGTGCAGTTCTGCTGAGCTAAAAACTGCAGCATTAAGAAAAAAAAAAAAACAAACCCGAATTGCACAGTGGCAGCGGCTTCCGTGCTCCCTGGCTGAAGTCAGTGACCACAAACCACGGGAGCCTCGAGCCTTGCCGGAACTGAGCTGTTGGGCTGGTTAGGAGGCCCTTCCCCTTTCGTTCTTGCAAAACAAAACAAAACTAAAGCTAAAACGGAGAAGAAAAAAGAAAAAAAAAAAAAAAACTAAGCCACAAGCACACAACCCTTTAACAATTTGATCAGCAGCCCATTACATTCAGAAATTATTTAGTCTTGTTTTAAACAGCTCTATATGGTGAGGTTGTGCTCCTTATTTTGTTGTTAAAGAATATTCTGGTCGAATAATATCTTTCCTCTGGAGAAGCTGGGTTATTCCTTGAAGGGTCAAGGTGTTTCATTTGGTGTGCAGAAGGTAAGCAATGCAGAAAAGAATGGGCAGTTAGCATGGTGGGATTTTAGATCTAATGAGAAAGAACGTGGGTTAGAATTAATCAGTTCATATTTGCTAGGCTGCCTGTGCACAATGCATCTTTTTTCTCCAGAATTTCAAAGTGCATTTACAGTTCCTACCTGTGGATGATTTGTTCATTGTTAAGAGAGTGATTTTCTGCTCTGAAGAAGAGAACTGAACACTTTCTTTCTGAGGGGGAAAAAAAAATTGGAACCAGATCATAGGTAAAAAACATATAACCTAAATGCTTCGCTCTAAAATAGGATACAACAAAGTCATATGCCATTCTCAGACAAGATAAGGGGACAGGGCCAAAGTACCACAGTTTAGATAAGTGTGGGAGGTCATGTGATTCTGCTTCTCTCTGCTTGGGCTCTGAGGGAGCTTATTTACAGATTTTGAAACATTATGGAAGCTATATAAATTGTTAGCAATTAAAAAAATAGCATTTGGAGTAGCAGGTAAAGTTTTAGAGAAGCATCCTTTCCAGGATGTAGGAAATACCCATTTTTATGATTTGAAGATTCCTTGTGCAGGCATTGGTCTTACAAGTACTGAGGGGGATACAATTCTCAGACCTGCAGCAGAGAGAGCACAGGTCAGAGTGTTTCCCTAGTTATGCCCCTAGCCCGATACTGAGGATATCATTGGGTATCTTGTGTCACCCATGAATCTGTGACTTCCTCTGAGTCTAAGGTGCTGCTGCCTCAGTCCCTCACTCAGGTCACTAGGATCACCTGAGGGGTAGGGCCTAGAGAAATTCCAGAGACATCCAAGGGAGGCTAACTAAAGGACTGCTTAGGAACCCAGATTGTGAAGACCGAAAGGCTCATGTTTACACCTCATATCTACTGTTTATTTCTGAGTAATGTATTAGACCAATGATGTAACTTTCCCCCCTTCAGTGTCTTTTTTTTTTGAGACACGGTCTCACTTTTTCATCCAGGCTGGAGTGCAGTGGTGCAATCACAGCTCACTGCAGTGTCGACCCCCTGGGTTCAAGTGATCTTCCCACCTCAGCCTCCCAAGTAGCTCCTTTCTGTTGGGGTAATGGTAATATCTGCTCCATAGCACTTCTAGAAGCACTCAAATAGAGGGTGTATCCAAACTACAAAGCAGCATGGCTGGTGAGAAGTAAGTGCTTAGTGCATCTGGCTACAACCCTAGTGGGAGTGCGATGAACTCTGCACCCCAGGCCAGCTTCAAGAGAATTCCAAGACACCCATGGTAGCTGTAGGCCAACATGTCACACATGGGAAATGGCGAGGACAGGAATAGGCAGCATTTACTGAACATCTTCCAGGTATGCTTGAGCACTCCAGGAGTGTGTGGTCTAGTCTGTCTAATCCATAGATGCGTGAGGCCTCTTCAGGGGGCTTCTGGAAGAGAATTCGACACAGGCTTTGGGCCTCTTGAGGCTCTCCTGGTCTCCCTGTATACCTGTGAGCAGGTCTGGAAACACTCAGAGTGAGAGAAATTTCCTGGTATGCCGAAGTACCAGTTTTATGCCCTTATTTGCATGTATGTGGGCCAGGCAGTGCCATTCACAACCATCCCAGGGATGCACAGCCCTGAAACTCTGTTGTGTTCAGGCTTTGGGGCTGGTCAAGTGGGCATCACTGTGGGCATCACTGACTTAGCTGTGCAGTATCGGAGCAAGTCCCATCCTGTTTCCAGAGGTGAGAGTTCTCAGCTGGAAAGAAGACTGATACTATTTACTTCGTAGGGGTACACCATAGAAGTACCTGGCACATAGGTTTTCAGTAAATGGCAGAAATTTTCATGCTTGGAGGGCGAGTTCTTCCTGGGCAAGATCAAAGGAAGAATGCAGAAATCAGAAAGTGATTTTGCCAACAGAAGCTGCAACAAAGTACATGTGTGCACAGACCACCGAACAAAACATCCCTTTCCATCACCAGGATGGGGTGGACCCGCCCATTTGCACAGGTGTCCTTCACACTGGCTGATATCATTGCCTCTGACAGGGCTGCCTTTGCTCATCAAGTACTGAGTGCAAATGACTCGGGATCTTTTCACAGCTTCCCAAAAAGCCCTGGACCTACCTGTGGTTTACAACAACTAGGCCCTGGAGAATGTTCTGTAGGCCCCCACTGTCAGATGTTCCAAGTTTGAATCATGTCAAAATCTGCTCTTGAAAATGAGATTTCTCCTGAGAAGCACTTTGTTACTGATTTCACTCACTGAGCTCTGATTCAAACGACTGCTCTCCCCTGTGCCACAGGAGGCTGTTTTGTGATCCACAAGTGTTGCATCCGTGGTCTAGCTTGTTTGGTATTTTTTTGACCTGCATTGGCCTCAACCATCTCATCTACAGCAAGTTCCTTAATCAGAAAAGAAAAAGGGCCGGGCGTGGTGGCTCACGCCTGTAATACCAACACTTTGGGAGGCCGAGGCAGGTGGATCACGAGGTCAAGCGATCAAGACCATCCTGGTCAACATGGTGAAACCCCGTCTCTACTAAAAATACAAAAAATTAGCTGGGCATGGTGGTGCGTGCCTGTAATCCCAGTTACTCAAGAGGCTGAGGCAGGAGAATTGCCTGAACCCAGGAGGCGGAGGTTGCGGTGAGCCGAGATCGCGCCACTGCACTCCAGCCTGGGTAACAAGAATGAAACTCCGTCTCAAAAAAAAAAAAAGGCGGGTAATGGGAGATCCTGTAAAAGCTGGCCCTGTCACCAACACACATCTTGTCTTGGGCTTTATCCTATCTCTAAGGCCCAGGTCCATGCCGCCCTGTTACTCCTGGCTGCCCAGGACGGTGTGTAGCAGTCCTCAGTTCCCACCTACCAAACTCAGGCTCTCTGCTGCTCCTCTCCTCCTGGGTCAGAGCTTATGAATACTGGCCACATTCTATTCCGCTTCTGCTCTCTGCTAAGGATGAAGTAAATTCACCCATGCTGAGGACGCATGGGGGCTCATGAAAAGAGTTCCGGGCTCAGTATAGGGGTCCTATATAATGGCTCCCCTCCTAGTAGCTGTGTGCCCTGGGCAAGCTGCTCCACCTTTCAGAATACCAATTCTTTAACTGTAAAATAGGGCATATAATGCCAATATTTAAGAAAACTGTGAGAATTAGAGAGACAAGATGAATTTAAAAAACACAATATTAATGGTTAGATGAATGTGAAGCGGACGACGAATTCACATAATTTTTTTCAGGCAGCATTGAAATTTTGGGGGAATGTCTTTACATCAAGATTTTAAATTGCTACATAATAACTACATATTTCTGGGGTGCATGTGACGTTTCGATATGTGCATCCAATGTGTAATGATCAAATTATGGTAATTAGGATATCCGTCATCTCAAATACGTATCATTTCTTTGTGTTGGAAATATTTATAATTCTAGCTATTTGGAAATATATCCTAAATTGTTGTTAACTGGAGTCATCCTACTGTGCTCTTCAACACCAGAACTTCTTCCATCTAACTGTATTTTTGCACCCATTAACCAGTCTCTTTATTCACCCTTTTCCACCCTTCCAAGTCCCTGGTATCTATCACTCTATTCTTTACCTCCACGAGATCACCTTCTTTAGCATCCAAAAATGGGTGAGAACATGCAGAGTTTGTCTTCCTGTGCCTGGCTTATTTCACTCAACATAATAACCTCCATTTTCATCCATGTCGATGCCATTGACAGGGGTTTCTTCTTTTTAATGGCCAGATAGTACTCCATTGTGTATACGTGACTCATTTTCTTTATCCATTCATCCGTTGATCAACACTTAAGTTGACTTCATATCTTGACTACTGTGACTACTGCCGAAATAAGCATGAGTTTATACTACAAAGTATGTCAATGTACCTTTCCAGTATACTGATTTTCTTTCTTTTGAATACATACCCAGCAGTATGTATTCAAAAGAAAGATTATATATTAGATCTATTTTTAGTTGTTTGAGGAAACTCCATACTGTTTCCTATGGTGGGCTGTACCATTTATAATCCCGCTAACAGTGTTTTAGTGGTGCCCTTTCAAAGCATCCTTACCACCCTCAGTTATTTTTGTCTTTTTGATGATAGCCATTTTAGAGATATATTCACACCCATTAAGAACAGGGTTTTTCTGACACTTCCATTCAATATCTAGAAACATTACATACATTGGGAAAAGTATGCCATATGTAATCACAATTTTCTTCTAAAGACGATGAATTATATTAAATAAAAGTTCTTTTGCCTGTTGGGCACCTGGTGGAAAGTTTGGGGAAAGGATCCATGGAGAGCAAATTGCTTTTTTATGTA